CCCCCCCCATCCTCAGCCTCGCGGTGCTGCTGCCTGCGGCCGCCTTCCCCTGCAGAACCCCACACCCGCAGCGCCCGGACAACACCACAGCCTCGAAGGTAGGAGAAACCTGAGCCCCGAGGGGCTGCCCCACTCCTGCAACGAGTTTGTGTGTGCTCTGCTAAGCCTCAGCGTCCCCTGGGAAAGTGGGAAACCTTCCCTTGCCCCCCGGCACATCTGCCAAGGCGCCCTCAGCAAAACATCTGCAACAGACAGGACATGTTTGCTTTCCAAAACACCTCGAATTACCCAGTTTTCTCGTGGTTCCCCAGCAAGTCCCAAAGGCGACCTCGAAACAAGGGGGGCTGGCTGGGTAGTTTTTGGTGCAAATCCCCCGCAGCAGCACGGGGCTGTCCTGGCCCTGCCGCACCGCGCAGGGGGCACTGGAGCCAACGCCAGCACCGTTTCCCAGTCCGTCTGTTTTTTTTCCCCCCTGTGCATTTGCACAAGTTTCATTTTGTTGCTGCCAGTGCAGTGCAAGAGGGAGAACTAGCAGAGGCCTGAGGTCAAAAGTAACGATTTTGCCATAGGGAGTGTGGAAATCTCTTCCCCAAAGCTCCCCCTGCAAACCCAAAAGCTCTCACCGCCCTGCCCCTCTCTCCCCGTAGCTGCTGGGGACGTGGCTGTACGTGGCCGGGGCCGCTCAGTTCCCCCGGCACCTCCTGGAGATGCTGCTCATCGACCACGGCCACCTCCACGTGGAGCCCCACGCCAGCGAGCGGGAGCTGCTCATCACCCAGCGCGTGGCTGTGTAAGACGCAACCCTCGGGCCTCTCTGCCCGGACCCATCTCCTCCCACACGCTGCCGCCCCCGCAGCCGTTTCAACACAAGATACAAGCAAGGTTTCAGACTGGTTTTCCCAAGGAGAGAGTCTCTCATGGCTGCTCTGTGCATGCTTTCCCATCCCTCCTCTTCCTCACCCCTTCTTTTATTTACTTATTTCAACAGCCCCCAGGTTTAGGCAAATTTTGCAGGGCACAGAGGTCTTGCAGGCACCAACCCCTGCAGGCGTGGAGGACGCAGGCAAGGAGAAGACCTTTCCAGAGAAGACCTTTCCGAGGTCCCTGGGCCACGGCTGCTAATCCTGCCGGGCACCAAAAGCTATTTCCCCCCACCCAGGGTCAGACTTTAAGGGGATGAATTTTTCTGGGCCAACACAGGCAGCCCTCTGCAATTTCAGTTATTTTGGGGTAGAAAACACCTCGGCACCAAGGAGGCCTTGAGCTGGGCAGGGCAAGGCTGAGACCAGGAGCTGCAGGGGGAGGTCAGACAAATGCACGGGAGAAATGGCTTAGTTTTAACAGCGAGAGCAGTTAACCCTGCGGAGGAGCTGGCACAGCCGGGTTCCCAACCCACGGCTCGGGGCACGTGGTCCTTTCCAGCCCGTGCGGGGGGATCTTCGCTCTCCTTCCCCATCTCACTCCCTTCCCCTCTCTCTCCAGGGGGGACCAGTGTCTCACCAACAACTCCACCTACTTCGAAATCGCCACCAGTAACACCACGCTGGTGAAGCACGGTGAGCGGCACTGGCGGGCACAGCCTTCGGGGTTATCACCCAGTCTGGTTTTTGGAAGGGCTGAGACACGCAAAGGGCCCGTGTCGATGTTTTACATCATCTGACACATTTTATTCCCGGGTCACTTTGTCGGTTCGAAGCCTTGGTGGGCTCCAAAGGGCTCCCCGGGGCCGGGGGCACCCTGGCTCTAGACCCCATGAAGCAACGCCATGCCGGGAGCAAGGAGCAAACCTGCTCACATTGCAAGGAAGGAGACCGCCTCATTTGTAAAGTTATTTCACAACCCCCGTGGGAGAGGAGCGGAACATTTCTGGCAGGTTTCAGCTCTGAGACCAGTTCCTCCTCACTGAGGACGGGGGTGAGCCATTTGGGGTGGGAATTGCAAAGCCCACAGGCGCAGTTGGCGCTGACCCTGCCAGGATGGCATCGCTGCGAGCAGGGAACAGCCGATCCACGCAGCTCCCCCTGCTCATGCCCCAAGCGCCAGCGAGCCACGCCACCCAGCACATTGCAACGGGAGGACAGGAGCCGGGGGGCTTCGGCTCCTTCACGCCCCAGGCCCACGTTTAAGAAACCCAATTCAAATAAATCGAGAGCCGAACAACTCGCACCACGTCAGATCCGGGGGGCTACAGGCATGGCCCACACCCGGGCTGCAGTTTATTGCTGCTGCAGCACTGAAAACCTGAATATTGTGGCTGTTCCCAACCCCGATTCTGTTCTCTCAAAGCCAAGACCCAGCAAACCGTGGGGACGCTGATGAACCTCAGCTCTGAAGACCTTTTACTCATCCAGTACCAACTGCAGAGGGACAGGACGTATTCAGGACTGTATCTCTATGGTACGCAAACTCCATCCCAAAGTAACTTAAAGCTATCGTGGGACACCAAAACACGCACATAAAATTATCAGCTACAACCACGCAGAAACTTCATTTCGGCAACAGTCAGAGACTTTCCTGAGACGGCCGCCCCAGGGGTCACGGGGGTATTTACAAATCCCATTAAAACCTGAATCTCCTGGCAGAGCAGAGAGACCAAGTTAAAGACAAAACCCGCTTACGCCATAAATATTCAAAGAACAGGAAGCAAATACAATTCAGCATCAATATCATCGTAAAATCTCAATATTTCCAAGCCAACCATGATTTTTCAGTACTTACCTCCCAGGGCAGAGCACGTGGCTCTGCAGTACGGGCACAGGCAAAGCCGATCAGATCTACCCACAGCCCCATAACACAACATTTTAGACCTTGAGAAGGCTTCCCACTGCCCTTGCAAGCTGCAAAGCAGCTGCTTAAGAGAGTTTGAAGACACTTAGAGAAAACTGCCTGCATACTCAGCCTTGGGCCCTCCTGATGCCCAGGAACATCAGACGATTCTGTAATCCATTTAAGCAGACAGGACCAGAGCTCTCTGGGGAGAGGGTTAAAAAAAAGTGATGCCCAAAGGTGATTTTGTTCAGGTGTATTCACCACGGGGGCTGAGAGACCCCAGCAGAGATCACCTCCGCAGCGAGCGTTGGTGGGAGCATGGGGAAGGGAGGCAGCAAGGGCAGGGATGCAGCACGAAGGGCCGAGCCGAGGCCATCAGTCCATATTTAATGCCTGGCAAATGCTTCTCCTTTTGCAGCCCGAAACCTGAGCGTGAGCACAGCCCACCAGGAAGAGTTCGAGCACCACGCCAAGTGCCTGGGGCTGAGCGAAGAGGAGATCGTGTACGCGCCGTGGAAAACGGTACGTGGCTGCTCACGGGCGGGCGAGGGTCGGCAGAGCCGCTGCGGCCCCCCACCCCGGGCAGGGGTGCCAAGAGCCCAGGCTGTAGCTCCAGCCACCAAACTGGGGTCTTGGAGAGAGATTTTCAAGGTGGTGGAAATGATTTAGGGGGCTACATAAAGGCAGGCTTGCTTCGACAGCAATAGTGGTTTAAAATAACACCCCCCTGCAAATATGTGACTCCCCAAGGCAAAAACTGCACCCAAGCATCTCCAGTGGGAAACCTGGTGGGAAACCAGTGGGAAAGCCTGCCTGCCCCTGCTGGGGGAGAGACATCTAAAGCATGGGATTTTTGCCCCGAAATTCCTGATTTTGCCCTGAAATTCCCCATTTTGCGCCCCAGCAGAGGCGAGCGGCCCCCAGGAGCTGCAGCAAGGGGCAGCAGGGGCCGGTGCCCCGGGGCGCTGCACGGCCCCGCTTCAGGCGAAGCCACGGCAATTTAAACCCCTAAAAACCTCGGGTTGTTTTCAGATCGGGGTTTGCTTTTCTGGCACCCCGAGGTGCTGCGCGATGAGCGGGTTCCAAGCCTGGCTGGCTGTAAATGGGGTTCAGGAAGGCTGCTCAAGCCAGTCCTCCTCCCGCCCCGGCACGGGGATGTCCAGCTCCTTGTGGGCTGGGGTCCAGCCCAGAGCTCCCGGCCCCATGGGACATCAGGAAAGAGGCAACACCATCCACTCCCACAAAAACAGACTTTTTCCTTTAGTTTTTCCATCAAAACATTAACCAGCCCTAGCCCTAACCTCTGCCACCCGATTTAGGACATTTTATCCTGCAAATGACCCAGTCCCCAAGCCAGCTTGATGGGGCTCCCTTTTGCGAAGCGGGCGGTGAAAAAATACCTTACCTTTTCCTGTCCTGGCCATCCATTCCTGGCCTGGCCTGGCCATCTGCTCATCCACAGCAGGAGACTCGGAGCTTCCAGAGGTGCCCAAAACGCTGCTCCGAGCTGCCGGACGGGACCCGACGTAGCGCCCAACATCCCCCAGCCTCAACGTGATGCTTTTAGAAATATCCCCCACGGGTTCAGGGGAACTGGGGACAGGGACGCAGGCAGAGGTGGAAACCCTCGTGGTGGGGCAGGGGCAGGTCTCCTCTCCCCGTTAGGCAACGGGCAGCACCTGGGAGGCAGGGCCCAGCTCCCTCATGAGAATTAACAGCTGAATCACATTTAAGTTTGGCCAAGACAAATTACATGTAGAGCAAGCCAAGGGGAGTGGAATAATCTAGAACTGCCTGTCCTTACAAGCCCTGGTGCGATTGCTCTTAGCAGAGAAGGGTTTCATGCCCAGCTGAGGGGCAGGGCACCGTGTCTGAAGAGTAAAATGAAACCGATTGAACAGACACAGAATAGATTTTGGGGACCTTTGTCATCAGGCTGAAAGAGGCGGACGTGAACAGAGCCCTGGCGCAGGGACTCGCGTACCCCTGCCCCAGTCCAAGGCGTTAGCAGAGCCTAAACCACGCTAATTCTGAGTGCCTGGTAGCAGGAGATTTTTATTTCTTAAAAAGACTGAATCCCCCTTTCCTTCAGAGCATGCTTACGGCCCTGCCGGCGTAGCACAGCTTTGCTCCAGAAACCTGCTTTCCTCCTCGCAGCACAGGCGTGGAAAATGGCACCGGCAGCAGCTCGGCACCCGGAGAAGCAGCGGCTGTGACCGGGGCCGCGTGGGGAAGCCCCTAGCTTCTCTAGGCCCTCTTAGACTTATAAGCAGACAAAAAGGAAAAGAAAAATACTTCTTTCTTTAGTAAATTCCCTCCTGCTGGTGCGCTGGCAGTTTCACTTATCCCATCATTGTTGTTTTGGAAGGAGCTGTGTCAAGCTGAAGAAATCGGAAAAGGAAAGGACCCGTGCACGGAGCCCGTGGCTGCGGTCCCGGCGTCACCTCCTCCGGGCGCCCGCCAACCTGGGAGCACCGGTACCTGATCCCACCTTAGCCAATAAAGGTTTTCCTCAAATTCGATGCATTTTGTTGCTGCGATGCTGGAGCGCAGGGGTTCGGAAGAGAGCAGAAGCGGGGCTTGCAAAAAGAAATTGAACACCCAGTTCACCTCGTGTGTCATCCAGCTGGGAAAAGCCAACCTTAAGCAATCGGGGATGCAAGACGAGGCGACACGTGGAGGTTTTTTCAGCGCTGACTCCGTCCGCTCAGCTTCACACCAAGCTTGCAAAGAGCTCTGCTAAAAGAGCAGTCCTTAAATGAAGCAGTAAGAGAGGCTAACCAGAAGAGGGCAATCATTAACTATTTTAAATGAGTGTGCCAAGGATTTGATGAGTTACTGGAACATACAGAAGGCTGGAAACTTCTCCTTAACTGTACAGCCTGAGAGGAAGAGGCTGCTTAGCCAGAAGCGATGCTCTTGGCAGCAGCGTGACTGCCAGACGTAGCCCAGCTGGGGCAGATGTTCCTGCCCAAACCCTTTAGACTGGGAAAGAGCTTCCCAGTAATGTTCATCCACAGCAAGGTTTGCAACATAATATGACAACACTGAAAAATTATCCTCCTCTTGCTAACTCAACCCCGGCTGGATTTTTACTTCACCAGAAAAAAAAGGGTTGTGTTTCCTCATTTCCCAAGCAGCTCGGCACCCCGGAGGCGAGAAGGTTCCCATCGCTCTCGTGCCTGCGGCACGGCCCGCGCCGTCAGGCCCCTCACGCATCCCTCATCGCAGCCCCAGCCCCGAAGGGAGGAAAGCACGGTCGCTCCATTTGCGAAAGCAGGGGGAGTTTAAAAAGAGGCGGCTTTTGCTGCCTGTCTGGAAAGTAATTCAGTCTCAGCTCTAACCTAGTAATTAAGCACTGAAAATATCTCTCTTCCTTAAAAAGGAAGGAAAGGAGAAAAGCTGGAGGGCGCACAGCAAAGCAGAGGGCCCTGCTCCTCCTTCTGCACCACCAGGGTGCCCTGTCCCTGTACGGCACCGTTCGCCGGGCAGTGTTTCAGCGTCAGATTCCTGTAGTAAAAATGAATTTTACAAGGTCAAGTACAGCCAATTCCCTCCTGGTCTCAGGAATCAGGTACCTGACCAGCCCCTGCTTCAGACACATCTTTATCAGCTTGCGACACAAAACATAACCCCCCACTGCGAGGAGCGGGACGCTTCCAGGGTGGGAGAGGGCAGCGGTGCGAGAGGGGATGCTGCCAGCAGCCTTCAGTGCTGCGGTCCAGAGAACGTCGATAAGCGTCTCAGCTGACCGAAGCTGACACCGCTGGAAAGCAGTGGCTCAGATTACAAGGACCCAGACTTTATGAGTAGATTTATAGCTGAATAAAAGTCCTGAATTACAGTCAGAGCCATAAGGAACTGACAAACCCAGTCTGGCCCCCGCAGCAAGTTTTGTTAACGAAATCAGAGGCCACTTGCCCTACCCGCTGTGGCTCCTGAATGACCTTCAGGGATAGCTCCTGGTTGGTTGTGTATTTGCTGAAGAAAATATTGTACAAAGCCTTTCTTTTGAAAACCCTGTAAAGCCAGGTTCCTTCGAGGGCGTAAGTGGACGGCAGAGTTTCCAGCTTTTCTGGGAAACTCGCTTCTCTGAGCGGAGAGTTATGGATATTGCACAGACGAGCAAAGTCCAGCAACACGCAGAGACAGGTTAACGGTATCTGAACATCCCTGACTCATCACTGCCATCTTAGCCTTGATCTTGCTGATGCTATCTTTAAGAATTCTGTTCTCCCAGGGCCTCGCAGGGAGGATCCTTCCCAGTGTCCGTGTCCTTGGTGAGAACCATCCCAGGCAGAATCTGGCCACGAACAGCACCAATAAACCCCATCAAGAGAGAGATGCAGACACGTGGTATCTCTTTGACAGACCTTTATTAGCAGACTGTTCCCTACATGAAGAATCCGAGTTAGATTTGCATTGTAACAATTTGTGGTTACAGCTACAAAGATGGTTGTCATTTTGCATTGATTTTTGCATTCTGATATTCGTATTCCCATTAGGCCACACTGGTAGGAAGGAGCCACTGCAGAATTTATGACAGGTCTCAAGAAGGGGGGTGGAAAAAAAATCACATCACTAATCCAGATTGGTTAGATTTCCACGTGGTTAACTACTGACAGCACCGGATAGTCAAGGCAGAGCCTCACCTGGAAGACTCTCCATGAACCACCAAAATCTGTCAGCAAAAAAGCAGCTGCTGAGTGCTAGCAAATCCTTTTCCAATTTCTCGCACACCTCTCCCCAGTGCCCGTTTGCGTGTGAAGAGCACTGGCTCAGCAGCAGGGGCTGCTGATTCAGCCTCAAAGCACAACCACAGCAGCTTGTGTCCAAGTGCAAGTTTCCTTCCATCTCTCTGGAAACTTGTATTTCCTTTAGTCCCTGAGATTTCTCCCCTCCCCCCTCACCTAAAAATTCCCCAAGATCGCTCTCAATTAGCCGTTGTGACATCCAACATACACAGACCTTCTACTTCCCAACTTCAGCCATCCACCTGAAACCCTTTCGGCCATGCACCGAGGCAATCCCAAAATAAGGCAAGCCTCCCGGTGCCCCCTCTCCCCTCCTCCCACGGTACTGCGTCCTCACCAGCTCCCTTCTCTCCTACGGCTTCTTGCTACAGAATTTCTCTGGGCTGAGGTCCTCCAGCAACAACCCCAGGCGTGGGAAAGGCAGCTCAAGCCCCAAAGGGAAGGTAGGCAAGCGACTCTAGCATCCCTCCCCACGACTCAGCTGTGTGATGCAAGAGAACAAATAGAGAACTTTTTAAAACAGGAGAAATACAAGCACAGTAACAATATTTAAACAAGTCTATAAAAATAGTCTGACATAACTCTGTTCAAATAAATACAAAATAAATATGCTTTAAGCAGTAAAACAGTGGAATGCAACGCTGGTCCATTTTGCCCAAAATGAAAAGTTGGATGAGGATCTCCCAGGCCTCAGAAGCCAGATCCTATCAACTAAAGTAGCCCATAACGCAGTCAGAGAAATTTTAAAGCCATCTCTTT